ATCTTTTACTGGACTTGCGTGACGGGCACGGGCAATCGGCAGTGTCGCTGTGACTTTCGTTCAAGAAGGTTATGTGCTGGGCGGGCGCTCCAATAGACGCACCATTGCCTGCCTCTTTGCTTAACTGACCATGTCGCACGACGGAGACTGGAGCAGAGATGTCACTGAAAGGCTTATCGATTTATATAGAGAGGCACCTTGCTTCTGGCAAGTAAAAAGCTCTTTTTACAGAGACAGAATCTTGAGAATTAGAGAAAATAAGTAAAGAAATTATATCCATCCACGAACATCGAAAAATGGAAATAATACTTCCTAACTTCTTATTGACCGATTTTATCTGTTTATTGACATAGATTCACTCGTCCGTCAATTAAAAATCTTAATTATCTTATTGTACTTACAGTGTATGTATACTCAGTAAATAGTAAATAAACACATTAACCAATAATAGTAGTAGCATTTGTGAAGCACGCTATGATACCTATCTAAATCTATAGACCAAAAACCAGACATGGTCAAACATTGTGACGTATTTATTACATTCAATTTTCTCGACACATTAAAGGTATAATAAGATAATGCTGTTTCTTAATCCCTTGGTGAATGCATGTTATTACACGGATAAACTATGTTAATGAGAAGTTTGAAACCATTCTTGCGTTTCATAACTGTTATTAGGTAAATAGATCTTTGTTTCCTCCTGCGCATGGTGACAACAGCTAGTAAAAGCAAGAGCGGCAGTATAATCTATCTTCAAAGGCCAGCGAGTGCGGTAGCACAGACGGTCAGTCTCAGTCCCAGCACACGCACGTGTTTCCGCCAGTTTTCAAGTCCAGCCATGTGGCTTATTGGTCTCAGGCCAATCTCAATCCTTCAGAATCAGTCCCGTAGTGGAAACGGGCCTTTAGACTAGTCGTTACCCAGCAGTCCTCCTGTGAACAACCCATTTCTAGGAATGGTTGACGATAACCATTACGCCTTAACTCGCTGTGGTTCAAGTTAACCTACCCTGCCTTTATTGGTAAGATGTTCCGTTCAACCAAATTGAGATTAGACAATAAAATATGCTGCTTCTATTTCATATTCAGTTGCTGTTTAGTGATAATATTGAGATTCCATAAGTAACATGCTTAAATGATTAGTCTCAGTCAGTTCATAAGTATTATTATTTCAATGTGTAGGGTTCCGGATCTCGTTTGGACTGGACTCGAGGTGACACTCTCCAAGCTTGTCCTTGAAGCTTTTCGTGCGCAACGTTCATCACGTGGATCGACCTCTTACTTTGAGGACCGGAGTAGCCCACTAGCCCTGCAGACTATCTTGTTTGAAGAATTCACAGATGTTGCCTGTTGAGTTGGTAGATTGAACAGCTAAGGTGTCAGATAGATTAATGTATGGCGTTATCCCTTGATGTAAATTTTGCTTCTTGCTTTGTTCCATTAAATTGTGTTAAATTGTTGGTGTTCCTAAATGTTTTAAGTATCCGAATGAAACGAACCCCGATGAAGTACAGACTTCATTACGCTACCTATTGCGGCAGTAGCGGTACCTAGCATTTTCCACGTACGGCTGAGCGAAACATTATCTCACCTTAAATTTACACGTAAGGGCAGGGTGGCCCAGTAGTTAAAGTTCAGAGTACCAGGATTGCTGGAGCAGAGAGGTGCGGGCTTTGTTTGCCAGTTTCTGGTCAGAATCGGCAAGGAGGCCAGGCGGTTAAGCACAGCAGATTTGGAGCAGTGCGTTGCGAGTTCGAGACCGCAACAAGCTGTGAATATTCTGCGCTGTTAAGAATCAGCGACAGCCCTACGGCCTAATGAACGCTAAAACCGCTATTATTATTAACCAGTAGTATTGAACCTTCTCTCATATTCGCCAGCACCAAATATTCACATATAGTGTTAGGCATCTTCCGCAACAACCACTTAAATCGGTCCTCAAAGTTCTTCCAAAATATTTACAAACAGCAGCCTAGTGTATCTACAGGGCTTAATTGCAACTATTTTAACAGAGCGCAAATTCAATATGGTAGCTAATTCCTGTGTTTCCAGGTACAAAGTACATAAAATGTAATTAATTCTTCGAGGTAATGCAATTCAGGGCGAGACGACAACCGCGTGCATTCACATCTAGTGTAATTTGCTAACGACTCGTTATCTTACGACACGTCATTAGTACATACGTATGTTCCGGTCATCTAACTGTTTTGCACGGGTCTATAAAATTTTGCCTACAGCGGCTGTAAATAAGAATATAACTATTACTACCGTTGAAATTGCAGTGGGAATTTGTTGCATTTCCAACATCGCCGTGTTCTATTTCAATTTCATAAATCTATCCTCTAATACTATGTAATTCTTCGAAAATAACCTAATTCATAACGGCAATTCGATTTCACTCCGACCAAAAACCTGATGGTGCGATAGAAAGAAGCACATAAATGATTATCACAGAAAAAGAGCAGCTTAGTTACTTACAACGCTTTGCATCCTTGTTCATCCACGTTTTGCTTGCAGCGGCGCGGTGGTGAAGACTTCAAGGTACAAATCACGCTGTCAACTGTTGATAATTCTTAACTTTCGATTCCACAAATCGATTCAGCTATTATAGTTAATTAGAAATTAGAACCTAAGGCATATGAACACAAGGAGCTCAAATAACACGCTTTTGCACACGTATACCACAAGTTGAAAATTTCTGGGACTTCAGAACTCTTCGCGTAACTACCGGTAATAATGATTACTGGAGCTTTGGAGACCCGTCCATGTAGCTGAACTACCGGTATGTTCTTGAATGCCGTCATAACGGTGCCGCTTTCCAACGATCATCACTCATGATCACTGTAAGAAGCCCTTCATAGTAAAACTAAGAACTTTGTGCTTCTAAAAATATTCAAAATAAACATGTTTATCGTTTAAAACGAATTTTTTCCAAGTCGCATACTTTACTTTGCACCGTAAGATTGATTGACTACACAACTGAAATTATGTAGACGCGTGTGTCACTTCGTAGGTGAACAAGACTAGCGAAACAAGACAACTGCAGCCAGCAGTCTTCGCGCGTTTGCTCACGTCCCTTGCATAGCCCGGGAGCGCAGCCGTGGGTAACGAAATTGACTCTTAAACAGGCCCTGGGCCCAACGCCAACCATCAGCATGCAATATCTACACATAGCCTCAGATCAATGAGCTGTGGGTAACTCCGGCTAACAGTAAATCCGCTTTGCACAACACAGCCACTGCTTCACAGCGCCGGAGCACAACTGGCCGGAGCGCAACAGGCCCTACCGCAACAGGCGGCGCAGATTACGTTAGGTTAGGTTAGGAGTAGCTGTTGCGGTAGGGCCTGTTGCGCTCCGGCCAGTTGTGCTCCGGCCTGTAACTGAACGGCGCTGTTGTGGTGGGCGCTTTGTGTCAAAAGCCGTGAAGATGCCCGGCTGCGTTACCCTCGGGAAGGTATATGAATCGCACTGTGGACTTGGGCTATGCTGACCTCTAGCTATCCACCCCATAGCCCTATACCGGGGTAGTGGTAACCTCCAACTAATGGGGGAGTATAGTAGGTGGGGGTTGGGGTAACCCCCAACTAGCAAGAAATTTTGCGCAGCGAACAGAATTTAGTTACTATATGAAATAAAAACCGTAAAGCATGGACTTAGTTTTGTCATCGATTTCCTTTGAACCACCGAATATAGTTTGTATTAATTTGTTTAAAAAGTAGCGAGGTGCCGTGATACTTACGCCGCGATGAGTCATGCCCAGCACGCATAACCTCCATTGAATACAACGATCTTAATTCACTGACGAAGGAATGAATAATGTTAACCGCACTACAGTATCACGTTGACATAGAATATCCAAATTTTAAAGATCTGGTGTGTATAACCGACGGTACATTGTATAATGCCTGTCATCTTGAAAAGCACTGTCAGCACTGTATCAAGCAGTGCCATCCCACTGCTCTGACTCAAGCAGGGCAGCCTCTGGTTTATGAATATGATAATTTCTTTAAATATGATATTTACCTTCAAGCAGCCTCTGGTTTTTAAATATGATGACGTAAAAACTAAATGCATACTTTAGTCGAAAAACTGTTTGTGTCATATACACTATGAAATTACCTAGCTACCACGTAACCCCGTAAGCTCAAAATTTTGTAAAGTATCGTATCATATGACTTGACAAACGTGCGCTTGCACTTGCATATAGGCGCCATTCTATGAGCGGGAGGTGGTATTGGTTCGCTCAAATACCAGCATCTGACGACAGACATCGTGAGGGAGCTTGACCAGCTGCTCTTTTGGTTATAATAAGCAGATTCTGGCCATCAGGCAGAATCTGCCCATGGATTCTTGAAAAAAAGCTTCTAAATAGGAGTGGAATTCGACAGATGGCCGACTGACGCTTAATTGATTTACCTCAAAGGCGACTCTGTAGACTGCTGGGCGACCTAAAATGGAATCCAAAATTCGACTGCGGTATAACCACCGTATTGAATAATAAGGCGATAATGTTTCGATATTTTTCAGTCGCACCTTTCTAAGGAATAGTTACTAACTATTTTAATCTGTTTCTGAAATGAAATTCGGAGCGGGTAAAATGCTCAATACCATATTTATACTGTAGTAATGATAATTACTACAGCATTTCTGTATTCTGTAGCATTTATTCTGTTTTACAAATTGATTGGAGGAATTCCTACCTGTACGGACTGATAAGAATTCACAAAAGGAAATTTTGTTAGTCATTATTATGTCTACGTTGTAAAAATTTTAAGTAAAGTGTACCAAACTTCAACTCGAAGTTTTTATTATGACATTTCAAGATTAGTCTTGCAACTATATTGTTATACGTGAGGTGAATCTCGACAAAAGTCCGATGTTATCGTAATCTTATCAGTGCTTTTTTAACCATTATTACATTTCACAAAATATAACTGATAACCTCACCGGAATTAAGGCTTACTGTTGATAAGTGAAGCTCACACGGGATTGATCTTCTTCAGGCTGCGGTCTGTGCAAGCCGAGCTGTGCGCTATTGTTGGCTCCCTTCGCAGTGAATGTTTGCTTGTCTTAATATTCATTAGAGAAAATTATTCCGGATATAATTGAAAACAAATGGACTAAGAGAGTGGCTGGCGTATAATAGTTTCGTTACTAATTTGATTACTACAAAATTACGAAATTCCGTCGTACCTGGAACAAAATTAATTATTATTGTGAACCTGCTAATTCACTTAGCAAGATTTGAACGAGTCATTTAACAATTTACTTTATTAGCTCACATCCATACATTTTTTCGCGAAGATACCAACTCGTCTTGTAACGACTTAAGGCTATTTAACCCGAGTCATTCATAAACTGAATCGTAAAATTCATAAACTTCATAAAGCGTGGAGATCTGACCGTTGCAAGCTCATAAATGATGAACTCCCTTTTCTTTCTCATTTATCTTGAACTTCTAACTCCTATTGACACTGCACACCTAACTTGAAAGTTTTATTTCGCATTCGTTTCCCCTTTTTACAACACGTCTCTTCAACTTCACTTACTGTTGTTTGTTTGTTTGTTTGTCCGTCTTCTACAAATCTTATAATCGATATTTGACGCACTTCTACCTGTCCAATCGATCTGAAATTTTGCAAACTTGCGTAAAGTTAGAGACAATGCATGGATCAATTGACAGAATAGTTGATTTTAAAAATTAAAAAAAAACTATTTCTAATATTAAAAAAATTGGAATAATTTTGTCTGTTTCAAATCTTATAATCGATATTTAACTCACTACTACCTGTCCAATAGATCTGAAATTTTGCACACTTGCGTAAAGTTGGAGACAATGCATAAATCAATTGACAGAATAAATAATTTTGAAAAATAAAAAAAAAAATTTACTTTTAAAAATAAAATTTAAAAAATAATTTTTTTAATGTGATAATGAAATAAAAAATTATTGCACATGTGTAACATCGGAGACACTGGATTCTTTAGAAGTTTTGTCTTTAAAAAATAATTTTTAAACGCACATTATGTCTGCAGAGCACGATGGCTCCCGTCAGCGAGTGCGGGCCAAAACTGATGCTGATTGTTTTGTTGTCTTCGATCCTGGCGCTGCGAGGAACGCTTGCCCAGGTACGATCACAAACTCTAGCTTGTCGGGCATATTATTCGCTCGAAATTAACTGCACTGTTATTAAATATCAAAGATTCTCCTTAATATAAATAGTTAGCCCACGGATTCAAGTGTCAAGAGGTTATAAACATGTCTTAAGTCAATAAAGGTTTTTAATTCACTGAAGTCTGAACATGTGCACCATTGGCAACAATACTCATATTTGTTGTCCCATGCATGATCTATTTCATTATATCTTGGGTTATTTTGCCTGATATACTTCAGGGTTATACTGCGTATTACTCGTGGCCTAATTTTATTTTGATAAGAAAATGTGACTCATGCTAACACTGGATTAGTATCCGGTAAATAAAGGAAATTTTGTCATTACTTGCGATAAACATCAACATTTTGCTGCATTTTTTATTAACACGTAAAACAAAATTAAGTTTCGGCATCGAATTTTCCTATTCATCAGGTTGCGACACTACAGCAACCTTCCTCCATCGGCCCCAAGGACGTGTCGACATCAAAAGGTGAGGTGAAGTTCAATGTTTGATGAGGAATGTTTTGAGGGTGATTTTCTATGAAATCGATTACAATAAATTGGTTTAAAGATAACTGACTAGAACCCTGGGCGGCTTGTTGGTATTACTAGCAAGCCCTAATCCTGTTGTTCATAATTACATTAAGGTGATCCTGAAAAATGTCATGAAATTTAAATCGAAAGTGAAAAATATCCCTAAATAATATCAGAAACATTGGTCAAAGTTTGTGTTTTTGAAGCCTTTCACAGTTCGTATACTTGTGCAGGAGTTGTTCTTGTGCGTAACCACGATACTTATCGTATCGGAATGTTTTCAGGTTAGTAGATAGCAAAATAGGCGTACCACGACACTTTACATAAATAGCTTAAATCATAGGTCATCACAACCATTTACCCCGAATATTACCCAACAAAATTAACCAATTACTCCCAAATAAAACCTCCTTCAATATTATTACGAACAATTACCCCCGAATCTGCATAAACAGCTTAGCAAGGTACCGATCATTTACCCCGAATCTTACCCAACAAAATTAACCTATTACTCCCGAATCACGAGTTAACGACCATTTACCCCGATTGAGTCATTCGAGTCATTTACCAAGCTGGAGTCATTTGAGTCAAACCAGCTTGAAACCTTGAGTCAGTTTTTTTTCATGGTGCATATCGGCTGGTAGCTAAACGCGCTCTTAAATTATGCTCCACAAAAACTCGCTCCAGATCCAAGACCGGTCAGGCAGAGGTAAGATCATCGCGCTAATATCGAGAGTGAACATACTATATTTGCCCTCGACCGCTAGCTGATCTGTAATACATTAAGCTCTGAACTCCAGTCGAGTGAGGATATTTCAGAAGACAATCCCTACTTATTGATCTCGTACGGAAGAATAAGTACATAATGAGCACGCTATCAAAACAACAAATTGATACGTTGACAAAAGCTAAGGAAAAACTGAAGCTCGTTGAGTGTGTGATTGATGAAGCTCAATCGAATAAAGAAAAATATGAAGAAATTCGAGATTTGATAATCAAAGATGCAATTGCAATTGCCAAAACGCTTAAACCGTACACGAAAAATCTTTTCAATGTAGGAAAAAGGATGAGAAGAAGAGGTATAGAAACGCCGGAAAAAACGAACACATGGTTAATGAAGAACAAGATTGGGAATAAAATGCTCCCACATCTACAAAAATGAGAAATTCGAAAAAAGTGGTAGTTACGTTTTTAGATATGGTCTTTACGCATCGAATGATATGTGTCTCAATGTTGTAGCTTGAAAATTCTAGAAGGAGATAGATTTCTACAGTACCCCTGTCTCTTATACACATCTAGATGTGTATAAGAGACAGGTGTAAAACCTATTAAAATTTTACGTTTCTGTGTGGATTTTGATGCTGTTAGCATTGAAATACTTGACAGTATCTCTGATGCAAGAAATACTGGCTAAATACATTTTAATTTAGAAATTAACGTCAANTCAATCGATATAAGAGCGAACACCAATACTCTAAAATGCGTTATAACAACTCGTAATCCTAACATGAAAATTTATTTCAACAAACCCAACAGTTTACATACTCTGTTAGGTTTTGATAATGGAGTATTGGAAGGTGTTGGAGAACATGAATTTTTGATTGATGAAATTGTTTTGATGAAATCTGTTTAATCTATCTGAATTATGCATCACTTTGCTCCATCCTAGGGCGTTGTGGTGTTCATCACCGGTGCTCGGACGGAACCTGCGTGAGCATTTATGACGTTTGTGATGGCACTGACGATTGCCTGTACCGCAGTGACGAAAAAAATTGTTGTGAGTTTTTTCCTAGCTAAATTATCATAAAGCATTTTTGGAGTTCTGTATGGAACAGTAACAGTGTGCCGGCACGTTTACAACCCAAACGTAGGAAAGCCTTCGTCGTGACTCATGCAATGTTTCCTCTATACATTTGGTTCGTTCGCTGTAATAACTGCAGTTCTGTTAGGAAGTTCCACGAATTCGCAATATGTAACATCGTACTGCTTTTGAGGATATGATAACTTATGCTGTAGTAAACTTGTCTGGTGTTGCACTGACAGATGCAGCTGCGTGTTATGTAATTATGCGTTCTCTATTTCTTGTGCCATCATAACTGCAGCGTGTCCGAAGAATCACCGGCCTTGCGGAATCGAAGGCTATTATATCAGACAGAAATGCATTCCCAGTGATCAGTTCTGTGACAACAACGCTCATTGTTTAAATGGCTTCGACGAGTCTCAAAGAGCATGCGGTGAGTGTTTGCTCTGTTTATTTCTTCAGTAGACTATTTTTAATTGACTGCTGAAGTGGAGTTAGGAATAAATACTGACGTGTACATTTTTTTGCTTGATGTATTCTGGCTTGCTAATCTATTTTATTAATAAGTAATTGTAGAGGTTTTAGGCTTAAACTATATTTTATTGCTCGATTATTAGTCCTTTACCAAAAACATACTTTGTTAATTTCATGAGGATAGGAAAATAGAATTTTACGAATGTTTTAGGGAGTATTGGAATCGAGGTTAGATATTTTCGGAAAGGAAAGTGTATTATGAACGTAGACTATAAGTCTGCGTCACGTGTCTTGATAAACGCATCTCAATGAGCGGAAGATTGATCATTTCTCGCTTATGACGTCTCTGAAAGTGAACATGTTCTAGGTTACAAATGTTGGATGAAAGTTCACTAGGTAATATGTGTGCAATAAAGTATTTTAATATGACTGTACAGAACCTGTGGGATACCACTATAGCCACGACACAGTCGTAGAGATACTTACCAGAAAAATCGGCTCCATGCTTCGGGTGATCATGCGCCCAGTTAATAAATTCTGGACCAACTTTTAAGTTTGCTTGTGGAAAAACAGCAATTGGAAAATCACTAGAAATATGAAAATATTAATGAATTTCAAATTGTTTGCGAAGGAATTTCATTATTAGAGAAATTTCAGCGAAAGGAAGAAGTCTCCACCAATATTGTACACGAAATTTTTCTAATCTCAGTCTCCATTTCACAAATTCTCCGATGCTACGTTCATACTACCTTAATTTCCTTAATTGTGTAGAATGTTGTACTAATATATTGGAGTTAGTAGTATTTTTTAGTTTTATTCATTTATTATCTAGTATTATCTAGTATTTATCTATTTATTTTAACTACGTACAGGCTGCATAAATGGATACCAATGCGAATTATCGAAGCTCTGCATTTCACGCTCTTTGCGCTGTGACGGTAAAGTTGACTGCGAAGATGGATCTAAGTCGGACGAAGAAAACTGTGGAGGTGGGGACTTCATGCAATTACATGATAATTTGAATCTGTATAAAATAATAAAAACTCATTTCAAAAGATATAAATTGTTGAAAATATGACAAAAATATTCAGGTGTTTGAGTTTGATATTCTTATAACAAATATTTAATCCTTTTTCATATTCGAAAGATAGACTATGCTACCATATGATCTTCAACCAAACTCAATATAATTCTCCCCTGCCATTGGTGACTCAGAGTGCAAAGGCCACCACCAGTGTGGTGATGGTTCTTGCGTGAGCATCTTCGATGTTTGCGACGGTGTGGAGAACTGCCGCGATGGCAGCGACGAACGCAACTGCTGTGAGAACTTAATACTGAAAGGGTTTTATATTTTACGTTGCAAATAGTTTTCTAACATTATAATTCTATTTTAAACTCTGTGCTTGAAATTCCGTAAATTAATATACCGTATTATTTCGCGTTATGTTGAAGCTTTGGTTCCTCCCTTAACGAAATTTTCAGAGTGATTAGCTTCTGAATTAAAGACGCTTTTAGCTCGCCCAGAGCATAAATTAGCCGCTCTATGTCCGCTTTACGCTATGGCTGTACGAGCGAAATAAACGTCCTGCCGGTCATAACCGAAATTAGAATCCTGCCGGTCATAACCGCTCGTGAGCCTGGGGCGATCGTGGGGCGCGCGTATTTGACACCTGATAGTTTCGGCACGGACACGGCCGACTTTGGAAAGTGCGTTAAAAAAGTGTGTATAACCGAAGGTACATTAAATAATGCCTGTCATCTGGAAAAGCACTGCCATCCCTGTATCAAACAGTGCCATCCCAACATAACATACCTAAATTTTTAATAAAAACTTGTGGGTCCTATATACAAAGCTAAACGTTCATCAGTTGTTGGTTCTGCCAATTAACAGCTTGAATATTAATTATTTATGTTATGAGAAGGAATTAAAATTATCTCATGGAGCTACATGCATTGATTTTTTGAGGTCCTTCAAGCAGCCTCCGTTTTTCATATATGATGAAGTTAAAAATAAAGGCATCTTTTTGTCGAAAAACCATTTATGTCATGTGCACAATAAGACCCACGTTTTTTGGGGCGAGCCATAATTTATTTTCTACTTTTTAGTCCACAAGAAAAACGTGGTTTTTAAAAAGTTTTTTTTTAAGTATTTTATTTTCTCCTTTTTAGTCCGTTGCTACACATGAAAAACGCTGTTGCGAGCCAATTTACTTGACTTGACGTACGTATCGATGATACGCAGCGCCAGCGCCTGCACGTCATACTATATATATATATATATATATATATATATTCATACTATATATATATATACTTTACTCAATTAAGCTAATTTAGGACTCTAATTGCTAGTTTTTATGATTGTATCTGAAATTGTTAGGTGAAAATAGCCTGCATGCCGAATTTCAGATCTCTAGTGCAATCAGAAGTGGGCTAATTTTCGTTGTCAATGTTAACAACAAACAAACAAACAAACAAACGCGAAGCTGAGCTAAGAAAAACGTGTTAAAAACGTTTTAATTATCTAATTACCACGTAGTCCGGTAAGCTCAACATTTGTAAAGTATCGTATCATATGACTTGACAAACGTGCTCATGGTTCGTCATGGATGGTCATGGTTCGCTCGAATACCAGCGCCAGACGACAGTCGTCGTGAGGAAGCCTGACCAGCTGCTTCTTTCGGTTATATTAAGCAGATTCGGCCCATCCTTCAATGGACTGCCGAAACCGGCTTCTAAATAGCAGCGGGACACAGATGATGGCCGATTAACGCCTGGTTCACCTCAAAGGCGACTCGATAGACTGTGGGGCGACCCAAATGGAGCCTGTATTTCGACTGGATCTGCGTGTTTATATTGCCCAATTTTTTCGTCACCATAGAAATTATTTAATATTTTTAAGGCACTGCCGATTATTTTGCCGAATCTGTCGTTCTACCTTAACGCTTTGCTTTACTTGATGACAATTTTCATCAAATCAAATATCTGTTTCTTGACTCGTGTGTTCTGGTCGGCGGTACAGCTTGCGCTGCCGGGATGCGGGCCTGCGGAGTCGAAGACGATCGCAATAACGGACCTTGTCTACCATTCGCTGAGTTCTGTAACGGCCGTTCACACTGTCTGAATGATTTTGACGAGTCCAACAGCATTTGCGGTAAGCTTTTTTCTGTTCACTATTGGACTAGCGATGTTTGATAATTTTCTTATGGGGATTTCATGACCAATGAAATTCATAGGAGTGACTCTTGGAATTATGAAATGCAATTTATCAAGCAAGACACTTCTTTACCTGGGTGATAATTTTGTTCTCAACGTTCGTAATGCAATAACGCATAACAAACCTTTTCTCAGGATGCAAGACTGGCTATTTCCATTGCAAGCTTTCGAAGCTATGCATTGACCAGAAGATGCGTTGTGACGGCAATAACGATTGTCTGGACAATTCCGATGAAGAGGATTGTGGTACGAAATTTTCGAACAACCTTTTGTGTGTCTCAAATATATTTAGGTGCTTAATTAAGTTCAAAATTTATAATTTGGTGATAGGCTCATAATTTTATAATTTGATGTAAGTCCAAAATTTTATATTAAATTTTGTTGCTAAATTTCAGTTCATAATTCACGAGATTCGTTGTATAGCATATAATCACGGTCTAGAATGGAGCAGTTGTACGAAGTAAGAAAAGTAGGCTTTACACACGGTTGCACAGTTCTTATGAAACTTTGCCAAATCTGAGGCGACACGAAGATATGCATGAAACATACATTACAATGAGGAAGCAAGAGCACGTAACGCAAATAGGAACATTTATATTTAAACCACAACAGAAAAAAAACTAATTTAAGTGTTTTAAATTGCTCGAAGCAGATGCTTAATCTTTTGTACATTGTATTTTTTAGTATCCTCAAAACACGGCTTCTGTTCTATTTATGATTGTGTTTTTTGAGTAACACTCACGTATTAATGTTGTGCTACTGACTTCTTAAAACACTATTTATACATAGAGCCGGCGGCACATAAATACAACTCATGGCCTAAACACTTGATGACTGAAGTTTTGAATTTTATTCTCAACAAAGGCTGTGATGCTCACCACCAGTGCGGTGATGGTTCTTGCGTGAGCCGCCACCAAGTCTGCGATGGCGAAATGAACTGCGTTGATGGAAGCGACGAACAGAACTGCCGTGCGTACTCAAGTTATGCTATTGATGCATGTGTACTCTAGTGATCGGTCACAATATTGGATCAATCATTCATTCATTCATCTCATGATCTTGTACAGGCATTAAATGTTTCATTCATCCTGTTACCTTGTGAAATAATTCATTCAGCTTGTATTCTTGGACAATCATTAATTGATTTTGTTATCTTGTGTAATCATTCATTCATCTTGTGTAATCAAATTCAACTGTATATATTATATAGTATATATTATTATATAGTATATATTTATAGTATATATTTCTATATAGTATATATATTATATATATATAGTATATATATATAGTATATTATATTATATAGTATATATTTCTGTTACGTGAAGTTGAAGTATAGCAAGAGCTTGGTTCAATAGAGTGACTGATCTTTCGACACTATTAATAAATTGAAATAGTTATTTGAGCCGAAGCTTTTTTAATCTGTTCTTTGCGTTTAGCATCTTGTGTTCTGAGCGCCTAATCCCTGCCACTCCCTGCAGCGTGTCCTGCTGGGACGCGGGCGTGCGGCGTCGAAGATGGCGCGCCCTGCGTGCGTGCCTCGCAGTTCTGCGACGAAGGGCGCCACTGCCGCAACGGATACGACGAGTCACCCGAAGCCTGCGGTGAGACATTATCGACTGTGCAAACAGTTGCTGGTCAACTATGAGGCATTGTTATATTCTTTCATTGCGTTTTTACGGACACACACTTGGGGGTTGTGTATTCTAGTCTTTTCCTAGCAATAAAATCTTCCTATGTTCTTAATCATGCCCGTTTGATGTCTGTCGCGGCGCAGGTTGCGGTGATGGCTTCCAGTGCCGCCTGACGCGGCAGTGCGTGGACAAGACTCTGCGCTGCGACGGCCAGCCTCACTGCGCCGACGGCTCCGACGAGCACAACTGCAGTTAGTGAATTGTGCATAAAAATGGCTTGCTAGGCGCTGAGATAACGTTTTTACTGCCTGGAGTGAAATAGGCTCTCAAATGAACCATTATTAATTTTGAATTAGCTTTAGTTGCGCCTGAATTTAATCAGAGATAGAAGAATTTCAGTTTTTTGTTACGCTATTTAACATCCACTAGTTTGACCGGACATCAGAATTTACCTTGAAAATATTTAGCTTGCCGTCTGAATGTGTGGAGATAGCAGACTCACGCGCACTCTCACCATCCTTTCACCCAAATAACCTGTTTTTTTTCATTAATATCTTCTTACCCATAGGAGATCATACGTTGAACTTATTGATATTGAATTATTAAATTATTACACGCGTTGTTAAGTCAAGTATATTTGCAAGTCCACCAGTTACTGCAATGCTATCTAGCCATTGCGCGTGAAATTTAAAGAGCTGCCAGAAGCAGCCCGCGTCTTGTTGATAGTTTTTCAGGGGAGCGCAGCCCCGTACCACCAATTTTGTGCACCAATGAGCCCTGAATCGAACGCCTTGGATCTCTCCGGACATCCACCAATCAGCCGTGAACCACTCGGCTTTGTCCTTCTCCGGCCTTGCATAAAACCTGCCGTGCACCACCAGGCCGCGGGTCGAATATGACTCCCGGGCATCGTTAAATTATGTAATTTTACGTTCACCGCATCTGAAGTTATGTTTCAGATAGCATAGTTCTGTTCCAAAATTTATCGTACTTCGGCGAGTGGCCGTTCGACAAAAGGCTGGTTCGACGCACGGCCTAAATATGGTTGTCCAGAAGTGTAGAAGGCTACTTTCCGGAAGGCAGGAATCATGATGGTCCATTACATCCAAGGGCAGTGGTGGTCTTCGGCAGGCAACCCGTTTTTCAGGGATAGTTTTAACCATGTCCCCAAACTGCAATGCGATTCCCTGGCATTCAATACAAAGACAAAAAAAATTAAATTCAGTGTACCCACAAAAATTTCATGATATGCTGAAGTTTTAACTATAGTTTTCGCAACAGGCTGCGGGCTTCACCACCAGTGTGGTGATGGTTCCTGCGTGAGCCGCTACGAAGTTTGCGATGGCATTCAGAACTGTTGTGATGGCAGCGACGAACGCAACTGCTGTGCGTACCGAAAGTTTACACGTGTAATGCGATGAACGGGCGCAATCTTGTTCATTCTACTCGTGTTTTATGCATTGCAATTTTTATCTTTCTGCATCCTGAATTATTTATTTTACTAGCGAAGTTTTATTACCAGCTGATTTCTGTGCTTTTGCAGCCTGTATTTTAAGCGCATAATCCCTGACACTCCCTGCAGCGTGTCCTGCTGGGAAGCGGGCGTGCGGCGTCGAAGATGGCGCGCCCTGCGTGCGTGCCTCGCAGTTCTGCAACCGCGGGCGCCAATGCCGCAACGGATACGACGAGTCACCCGAAGCCTGCGGTGAGACATTATCGACTGTGCAAACAGATGCTAGTCAACTATTAGGCATTGTTAAATTCTTTTATTTTCTTTTTAGGGATGTACAATTGGAAGTTGCGTATTCTAGTTTCTTCCTTAGCAATAAAATCTCTTCCTATAATATTCTTAATCTTGGCCGTTTGATGTCTGTCGCGGCGCAGGTTGCGGTGATGGCTTCCAGTGCCGCCTGACGCGGCAGTGCGTGGACAAGACTCTGCGCTGCGATGGCCAGCCTCACTGCGCCGACGGCTCCGACGAGCACAACTGCAGTTAGTGAATTGTGCATAATAATATGCGTTTTAAAACTATTTTTTAAAGACAACACTTCTGAAGAATCCAGTGTCTTGGATGTTACACATGTACAATGAATTTCTAATTTTATTTTCAAATATTAAAAAAATGATTTTTCAAAAATTTTTTAAGATATCAAAATTTTGTAAATTTTAAAAATTATTTATTCTGTCAACTGTTTCATGCATTGTCTCTGACTTTATGCAATTGTGCAAAATTTCAGATCGATTGGACAGGTCAAATTGTATCATATATGGATTATACGATTTGTAGCAGATGAAATTAATTTTTAATTTTTTTAATAATAAAAAATGTAATTTATAAAATTATTTATTCTGTCAATAGATTCATGCATTGTCTCCAACTTTACGCAAGTGTGCAAAATTTCAGATCGATTGGACAGGTAGAAGTGTGTCAAATATCGATACTAAGATTTGTAGCGCACAAAATTATTTTCAATTTTTTTAAATATTGAAAAAAAATTATTAAAAAAATTAATTATTCTGTCACTTGATTCATGCATTGTCTCCAACTTTATGCAAGTGTGCCAAATTTCAGATCGATTGGACAGGTAGAAGTGTGTTGAATATCGATTATAAGATTTGTAGCAGACAGACAGACAAACAAACAAGAAGTGAGGTTAAAGAGAAAAGTTGTAAAAATGGCTTGCTAGGCGATGAGTTCTAAACGTTTCACTGCCTGGCTCTAAACAAGCAATTAGAATAGAGAAATAGGCTCTAAACAAACAATTATTAATTTTTAATTGGCTTTAGTTGCGGCTGAATTTGATCAGAGATAAATGAATTTTAGTTATTGTTTCACGCTATTTAACATCCACTAATTATGGCGGTCACCGTAAACTACCTTGAAAACATTTGGCTTGTCGTCTGAATTTGGGGAGATGGCAGACTCACTCGCATTCTCACCGTTCTCTCACCCAATTATCAATAAGTTGTATTTATTGATATTGAATTTTTAGATTATTGCACGCGCTGTTAAGACAATCATATTTACAAGTCCTTCAGTTACTGCCATGCTATCTAGCCATGGCAGTGCCTGTGAAATTTGAAGAGTTGCCAGAAGCAGCCCGTCTCTTGTTGATAGGTAGTTTTTCAGGGATAGTTTTAACCAAGTCCCTGAGCTGCGATGCGATTTCCTGGTATTCAATTCAAAGACAAAAAATTAAATTCATGTCTACTCACAAAAATTTCATGATTTGCAGAAGTTTTAACTATAGTTTTTCGTGACAGGCTGCTGGCTTCACCACCAGTGTGGCGATGGTTCTTGCGTGAGCCGCCACCAAGTCTGCGATGGCGAAATGAACTGCGTTGATGGAAGCGACGAACAGAACTGCCGTGCGTACTCAAGTTATGCTATTGACGCAAGTGTACTCTAGTGATCGGTCACAATATTGGATTAATCATTCATTCATTCATCTCATGATCGTGTACAGTCATTCAATGATTCATCCATCCTGTTACCTTGTGAAAAAATTCATTCAGCTTGTATTCTTGGACAATCATTTATTGAGTTTGTACTCTTGCCCAATCATTAACCCATCTTGTATAATCAAACTCAACTGCTTTGAGTAATTTCAACTATAAATTTTAATCAGTTACTGTAATTAAGTCTACTTAATTGCATGAATCTTATCTAAGCTCGATAAAATATGGGACCTATCAGTGGAGCTATATGTCAGCAATAGTTTTGAGCGGCCGAAAAAGTAATAATATAAAATAATTAATAAAGGATATAAATGATGGTTGATCAAGGTTATGTCAGAGTACAGTTGCAAGGTGATCTTGACAGGTTAATTAACGGGGGCTGTTAAGTTGCAGCTGCGTTTTAACGCTGACAAATGTAAAGTAATCCACCATGGCAAGAACAATGAACAGCAAGTTTACAGTATGAGAAGACATGGTTGCAATGAGAGAGTGATGATGTTGAAGTCGACAATGGAAAATGTTTAGGAATTTACGTCGACAATGAGTTGAAAATTTCTAAGCATATTGAAGCTCAAGTTAATAAAGCCAATAAACGACTCGGACTGATCAGACGCTCTTACATGTACCTAGATGCAGAAGCGATGAAACAGTTGTTTGTTGCTGTCGTATGCCCGAACCTAGAGTTTGGAAACGCTTTGTGGTCACCAAATCTAGAAAATGACAAAAATTTAGTCTAGAATGTTAAAATTTAGTCGAGAAGACGTGCAACAAGGCTAATTCCAGGATTAAAAGGCAAATCCTATGAAGAAAGATTAAAGATTATGAAGCTTTCGAGCTTATGCTATCGACGTCTGCGTGGTGACCTCATTGAAGTATACAAGTATACGGTATACCCACGATTTATACAAGGTCCCAGAAGGATTACTAGAATATGAAACAAAACCCAACACCAGGGGCCACGGCTATAAACTAAAAAAACTGCTTTGTAACACATCCATGCGACCATATTTCTTCTTGCATCGAGTCACCGACACGTGGAACAGCCCCCTGATGCCATCGTTGACGCTCCGAGTATGCACGCCTTCAAGAACAAATTAGACAAAGCTATGCAGGAGCATATATGTTCAGTCTTGAGTGCCTATCACTTTTCGGACCAGGCAATAAGTCCAGCAGCTATCTCAATCAATCGTCAGTTATGGAAAGGCCGGATCCCTTGTGGAATCAAGTTACGAAAAGTACAAGAATTGGCAACAGGCCATAAGCCTGTTTCTTCAGTGCCAACACTTCTATCCTATTCTATATATTTCTGTTACGCGAAGTTGAAGTATAGCATGAGCTTGGTTCAATAGAGGGACTGACCTTTCGACACTATTAATAAATTGAAATAGTTATTTGAGCCGATCTTTTTTCATCTGTTCATTGCGGAGTAGCATGTTGTGTTCGAAGCGCCTAAAGTCTGCCACTCCCTGCAGCGTGTCCTGCTGGGAAGCGGGCGTGCGGCGTCGAAGATGGCGCGCCCTGCGTGCGTGCCTCGCAGTTCTGCGACGGGGGGCGCCAATGCCGCAACGGATACGACGAGTCACCCGAAGCCTGCGGTGAGACATTATCGACTGTGCAAACAGATGCTGGTCAACTATGAGGCATTGTTATATTCTTTCATTGCGTTTTTTCTAGTCTTTTCCTAGCAATAAAATCTTCCTATGTTCTTAATCATGCCCGTTTGATGTCTGTCGCGGCGCAGGTTGCGGTGATGGCTTCCAGTGTCGCCTGACGCGGCAGTGCGTGGACAAGACTCTGCGCTGCGACGGCCAGCCTCACTGCGCCGACGGCTCCGATGAGCTTAACTGCACTTTGTGAATCACGCAAAAAATAACTTGATTCTTTACTAATTTATGAACTTATATGTGATACCCTCATTACGGTATCGCAGTTTTATTACTTGCTTACCTGCACAGACTTTTTTCTCGCCTTGATTTTGTAATGTATTATTAAAATTCGGATTTTGCCCAATAATTATCGGTATCCTCCTCTTGAATCGCTGTCCTCTTACCGCATTGGTCTTCAAGTCATGAATTGTTCCTCGTATCGTACATATAGCATTAAATATACGTATTCAAACTTTATTATATATAACTTTATTATATTCGAACTTTAAGTGCTATTATATATCGCCTTAATTCGTGCTACTCACTAGAAGCACTCATGTGCTTGTCTCGCAGGCTGACAGAGTCGCGTGTGAAACGCACACCCAGAGAAATGTAGGAGACTTTTTTAAACATACACTTGTGCCCGAAATTATTCACTCCCTAACGTCAATTCGACAAATTACGAGAAATAGACCAAAAAATAATTATCTGAAACTTTAAAGCAGATGTAAACCATTTATGAACCATATAACATGTATTTAGAAACCAAAAAACATTTTTTTTCAGTTTTGGAAAGAGATACAAAGGAAACATAAAATTGACTCATGACCAAATTTATTCATACCCTGAATCAATTGTTAATATCATGGCCTTTTTACTCGTGATAACTTGTTGTAAACGCTTTGGGTAATGGTCAACAAGGTTCCTGCATGTATCGACGCTAAGTTTCGTCCATTCTTCCTAGGGACACTGTTCCAATTTTTTTCAAATTTTTCGGTTGTCTCTTTTTTTCAGCTGTGTTTTCAGTACGCGCCACAAATTCTCAATTGTATTGAGACCTGGACTTTGACTAGGCCATTCCATGACATTGATGTGAGAATCCTCGAACCACTTCATGACTATTTTCTATGTGTGCTTAGGATTCTTATCCTGCTGAAGAATCTAATCTGGACCAAGAAAAAATTTTCTGTATCCTGCTGATGTTATATTTGGCAATATCAAAATATTGTTCTTTTTACATGACCCCGATTACTTTGATCAGACTTCCAGGTCCCCTGGCTGAAAATGAACCCCAAAAAATAAGATTCCCACCGCCATGTTTAACTGTGGGGATTGTGTTCTTTGGATTATGAGCCTCACCTTTTTTTCTCCAAGCGTAAGCAACATTCATAAGCCCGAATAATTCTATTTTAGTTTCATCTCTCCACAAAATCTTAGAGAAAAATGAGGTTGGGGAATCGACAGGAGTTTTAGCAAACTTCAGACATGCTTTCACATGCTTTTCTGTTAGCAATGTAGTTTTCCTGGGTCGAAAACCCTTCAGTCCGTTACGACGCATTGTTCTTTGAAATGTTTGTCTTGATACCTTCATATCAAAAGCATCCAAATTTGATATAATTTCCTTACTAGTGATCCTATAATTGTTACAAATGGAGCGTATTACATTTCTAGCACATCTAGGGGAGATTTTCCTTTCCTTCCTCGACAATCTGGTTATTCACCGTGATAAATAATTTAATTTTTTTATAATGCTCTGTATTGTAGGCGTAGGAACATCAAAATTCTTAGATATTGCTTTATATCTCATCTCTTCTTTGTGGGAATTTATAATTTTGCTTCTGAGATCATTACTAAGTTTTTTTTTCTTTGCCATCTTCAAACTTTTAGCAAAATTTTAGCTTTTCCCTAAATTGGGAAAAAATTATGTTTTCAAGCTTTTCGGAGAAAAATATCACAATGCTTAGTAACACCAAATTTTGAAATACAATTATTGAGTATCTACTATTATTTTCATTAATAGTTCTTCTTAAATACTATAATAAATGATCTGGAATAACAGGGTACGACTAATTCTGAACGGTTAGTTACTCACAAAATTCAAAGTTATTACTATCGAAAGTTATACTATACATATTTTGTAGCATTAAATTTGTTGTACATAATAATGACAACTCTTTCTAGAAGAATAAGTTGTAAATGATCTCTATTGTTTATTAAAATTGGAATTTTGTTATATTTCTGAAGAGGTATGAATAATTTCGGGCACAAGTGTAAATGTACTCTTATTCTCGTGTGGTTCATACTGACTCAGTTGGACCGTGCTAAAGGGCGTATGCCACTATTTGGACATTGTTGCACATTAATTTTTCTGAATGCAGACGACAATGTGCCGAAAAAATATGATGACGTCACCTGAAATTTTTTACTATGTCCCTCACTATTTTGACGGCGACGATGAACTCAAGTATGGATCTAGACGATTTTTCCGGTCAATTCTCGATTAAAAGGATAAAATCATCTACCTTCTTCAAAATTTCCGTCCTTTATAGATATACCAGTAATTTGAAAACAAGCAAGTAACTTTAAATTATTAATGCAAAGACAAGATTTTAAAAGTGCCTAACTGAAGGACATTTGTCATGATTTTTGTAATATTTTGTCTTGTTTAAATCTATTTCAGTTTGAATGAGATGGAAACTTTATTCTAGATACTAGTCCGTAAATCATCCTCTCGGTAACTTTTTTCGTCCTTTAGCAGGAAAAATAATTCTTCGGGTTAACAAATGTGTTCGGAAAGGTTATGAGTAAGTAATAATTTTACGTTTCAATATTACGTTGCTTTTCCAAGGAACATATTCCTCACATATGTGTTCATTAGGTGGTGTCTGTAATGACGAAGAGCGATTAAAATTAATCCGAATTATATAGACTAATTAAAGGGCACGTGTGAGCAAGAATGTGCTACTAATTCGGTAAAAAAAATTATTGAATTGTAAATTATATAATGTGATACTAAATATTTAATAAAGTATCCGACTTTTATTAAGTTCCTAGGAAATATTGTTTTGCCTTATTTCATTCAGTACTCATATAATGATTGTTTTAAAAATATAAATGCCAAATTTCAGGTACTAGTAACTTTAATAAGTGAAATATTTATATTAATTAATATTATAATTAATATTTTTTGGAGCCTGTTTGTTGTATTAATCATTTTTAGTTGTTTTTAGTAATTAACAATAAAATTAACGTCTGGCTCCAGTTTGGTTATTTTCATTTATTTTTTACATTTCCTATAATCTTATTCTCTATAATTTAAAGGTTCGTGATTGTCCGCTACATGTCGCACCGTGGCTCGTAGTCCTCAAGTCTCTGAATTATTTTTCAATGTGTCTCATTGCTGGTGTTTTTCGATTGTCGTGTATTGGTGTTCACGTATTTCAATGGAACATTTTCTTCTCGTGTTCATGGAACGGTTTGACTCCGGCATCGCAGTCTTTGCTGTACGTGATAGTTAAGCGAAACCACTACTCCGAAGCAGAGCTTATGCTTGGAGTTACCTATGATCTCCTCGTTTGCATTTAAGGATTCTGTCTACAGATTTACTGTACATTTTAGCGAAAACAACGCCCGTTTAGAGAAATGTAAAATCTCTGGTGATCAAAAGCAAAGAAACTATATTGTTGTGCATATGAGCAACAACTCCTGAATATTATTCCACATCCATTTATAATTACCTGAATTTGACATATATACGTATATAACCTGCATAGTTTGACACTTCAGTTTTTTACTTAATAAAGCTGAGATTCCTTGCATATTTTAATTGCAGATTTTACTGCATGATACGACTCGGTAATTAGCCATTTCAACGTTTCCTTTGTATTTTCAAAGATAGCTAATGATCGTTATATCTAAAGCGTCTTCTGGAGTAAATCTAAAATCAATTAGTTTGTTTAACAGAGTGATCTTTAAACGAATTCGCTAATTTTTTTTTTTTTTGATCCTTGAGTGGGCATTTTGATCCAGCCGGAGCAAAGTAAATTTTGAACGGTTATTAAACTAATTTTCAAAAGCTACTGTATTACTTCCTCGATGTAATCACACCAGGAGGAAATGGTATTTCACAATTTTCAACTCTATCTTATCTTTAATTTGGATTTTAAATTAATTACCTCCTTGTTCCACTAATCTAAAGCGCAGCTGAAATTAGCCGAATACTTTTCTTGGTACTTTGTATTAAAAAGCTTATCTTTCCGCTTAAGGCATCTTGTTATGAGCGAAATGATGACATGCACGTAAGCTACATTAATTAATTATTCAATAAAAGAAAAGTACGCCGTAAGTTTACAAAATTCCGGGTTGTTGGAAACAGAAATCATCTCCGTCAAGATAACCATTAGTAACGTTTCGCTATATCAATTAATTTAAAAAGATTTTCTTATAATTTCTTCTTTAAATGCAGTATCTCCTGAGCCAGAACTCAACTTTATCGTTCCTTTCTCTCATCTTTGAGAATTCTAAGTCCTCAGCAGCAGTTGATTCTCTGCTGTCCCTACAGGGAGTCACACGCTCTTCACGCTCATTCCTTTCCTGTAAAAACATTGAGCAGTTTAAAAGCACTTACAGGGCGAATTATGTAGGAATTATATTATTATAATACAATTATATACAATTTCTAACATTTAAATCATTGTACGAAAATATACGCTATCAAGTAAATTATGTTTTTTCTAACTCTTAGTGATATCCAGTCAAAGTATAAGATAATTTTTTTTAGCTATGAGAAGAAAATATTTTTTTATTAGTCTACGGTTCTTACAACCAGTGTTTAATTACCAATAAGCTTTGTTTTGAAATCTTGTTCGGCCAGTCCATTGAGAACTTTGACCTACTGATACAGCTTCAATTTCATTATTATAACTCATTTTTGTCACTGATTGAGGAGGAACTTAACCTGGAATTGCTTGATCTGGAATGGTTGAATTATTGGCTCAAGAGGTGGACAAGCCCACGTCACAATGTATTGCTCAGCCCATGCTTCACTAGCGGACCGCGCAAACCTAATACAGAAAATTTATGCTGTTAGGCCATGATTGATTATATAATATGAATTTTCGATTATGTTGGTTTAGCTGGAGAATAGATTACTGTGCGCTGATCAATTGTCAATATTACCTTAAATTGCTTGATGTTGTTATTGATAAATCGTATTATTATTCACAATACTACTCGAATAATAAGGATTGAACGCCTCAAGAAATAAAAAACTATCAATACGTCATCAGATATATTTCGGAACCTTCAAATAAAAAGTTTTATGCTCTCCCAACATCTCATGAATTAATTTTCAGACAGGTTAAAAAACACTCAAGTAGAAAGAGATCTGAAAATTCGAAACGTTCCTTTGAATTTTGAATGCGGGTAAGATGAGCGTTTATAAAAATCTGGCAGTCTTTAATTGAACAGTGATTTCTTCCCTGCGAATTTTTGTAACTTCTTTTTCTACTTGTACATCTACAACTAAAAGTCCAACAATCAAGAAAATTGTAACAAATGAAATTACAACAAAGAGAGCTCCCACGAAGTGAAGTTTAACGAATATAATTACAGCGAAAATATTTACAGGGAAGAGAATTACAAGGAAATCAATTACAATGCAGAAGATGCTTGCACCAACCTTCGTTTCGGCTTCCTTGCCGGCGCAGTGCCGATTGCCTGAGTTGTATCTGAAAAACGAAAATAATTATTTTCATATGCTCCTTCTATAAAATAATTTATCATCTGTTTTTGTTCGATTAGAAAATTAGTAAAAAAATTTATTCCTTATGTTTGACAAGATCTCAGGAAATTTTGTTCTCACTAGTGAAAATAAAATAATTACAGTATGTTTTTTCAGTTTTCATGATGTACGTTGAATGTTTTTTCGTTATAACTGTAAATAGTTTCAAGTATAAGGAAAAAGTTGGACGACTGTGTTAATCAGAGATATAATCATGAATTCAACAGGATAAATTCTGAGCAGGTTAGTACGAATAATACTGCAATTTGAACGCGTTATCAAAAGTGCGCCAAGTTTTATGTAAAACAAATTGGAGATTTTTCATCTTGCAAATTCGCAAGGAATTTTAATTTCAAGTTCCATTCTCATTAATAAATCAAATATTATTAATGACAATAGTGATATCTGTTCAACAAAATTTTTAGTTTCGTATCATACAAATCGATGTTGCAGAACGAGTTTGCTCACATGGTTCAGCTATGGCGTGACTGCACCATATTCTGTGATCAATAATCTGCCCAATTGGCGCCAATTACATGCAGACGTCAGTCCTAAAACAACGCGAATGTGATGACAACAGTCGGGAATCTCCTTCAGAATATATACGTACTAGGTCGAAACAAAGCTATGATTTGTAGCAACACAGAGCTACAGGATAAGCTGTGACCTGTACGCATAATTTAAAATAATAAAAGTTGTTATAGGGAGCTACCAGCGGTGAAACGATTAGCTATAACTTCAATAAATGATTTATTGTTTGGTGCAAATAATTGTTAGCAGCTACAAGCTGTGAAAAGATGAGCTATGATCTGTATAAAACTACACATGATTTATAACAATATAAGTAGTTGTTAGTAGCTACAAGCTATTAAAAAAAAGTGCGGTGATTTGTCCTCGAGAAAACTTGTCTGAAATGAACGATATTGCGTTGATCAGTGAGTGGTCCCGGAAAAACTTGTACATTTTAAAATATTTTTACGAGTTTAAATTCCATACTATCATTAAATTTTGTTAATTCAAGTTGCATTGCTTCATCTTAATTGATATTCTACGTAATCCATAATTGAGAACAACTATGAATTCGTTGTCTGTACTGGTAGCAAAATAAACATGTAGAGCTTTTAAAAATATGTCCAAAGGTTTTTCAGGTTCAACCAAATATGTCCAAAGGTTCAACCTGCTGTCTCAATTTACCATTAGTTCTCATTCGTAAACTCAGTGTCTGCGGTGGAATATTTTGTTCTTCGTTGTCAGACTCGTAATTAGAACTGCTTCCGGACGATGCGTCGTGGTCGATGTCGGCTGCCTCGTCTGCAGCTGCGGCACTCGCGGATTTTTCCCGTTCCTCTCTACTTCGCGCCGCCAGCTTGCAGAGCTTGGCCATGGCTAGAGCTACCGTCATCGAGCTGTTTATTTAAACATAGGAAATATATTGATATGGCTCAGTAAAATTTATTGTTTCTTGCAAGTTTTGTTGGTTTCTATTTTGCAATTAGGCATAGGATAGAGGATATACTGATTCAAAACTGAGTGAATCTCGTAATTCAAAGCAGTTGTTCACATGGCTCTATAAGGACACACTTTCTAAAACAATGTTCGCTTTCAAAATTATCACATTATTGTATACGTTTTCTTCGGTAATAATTGATGAAAAAGCATGAAATCATAGTCAACAATTTTCAATTTGTAAAATGAGTTATAACAAAAAAATTATAAAGTTTGTTTATGGCCATTTCTAAGTAATCATAAAATTTTTCTTTGAAAAACTTTAGATGTAAATATTTACCTACTGATAATATAAAGTTTACATAAAACTTGAAGCAGATATAACTTCAGATAACTGAACGACGATGAACCAGAAGGGACGCACCCAATCTTTGTCCTCTTAGAAGACCGACTGACGTTCATCATCCTGACGATGACGTGCCACGGCAGCAAGTCTTTAGGCTCACTCATGAGGTGAACAAGCGACGTTCCTCGCGCCTCTAACAAGTGAGGCTCACTCATGACGTACTTCGAGCTTATGCCAATGCCTTGTGCAATTCAGGTGCGAAAAATGTAAGTAAATGTTAGATCGTCGCATTCTGTCTTCTTTTCATCATTATTGATCATATTTAGGGAAGCAACTTGTCATTTTTCGTCAATTTGCTCCAATACATTCATTGTGAATTTTTTTGGAGCAATTTGAACTTATAATGTTAGAATCCACATTGTTAAAGTGACACGCACAGTTGGATTTAGACTTCAACCATCTGTGTTGATGCAATTCTCCTACGTCAGTAGATTCTCAATTGTGGATATTGAGAAGCATCTGCTTGGGAAAAATGATAATGAACCAGTATTCTAGATTAGAATATTTAATATTTATAAACTAAAATACACGTGATTGAAAGATCTGTTCAATTGTTATCGATTTGAGCGCTGTCGCTGGGCTCTCTGAACCAAGTTTCGTGTCTGACTGAGTTCAGGTTCTGTTTCTGCTAAGGCAACACGGTTAGAACTGCCCCTTTATTGTGGCCATAGCTGAGACCGCGCCTCTCGCGCACGCGATGCTGCGGCCGTCGACCAATCATCCTATGGAGCTCAACAGCGACACGTGTTGGCAGGCGCAAAACTATCAGCTATATCATCGGAAAATGAGAATGATGGCGCTTTCGCTTGAAAGGTGAGTTTCCAGTTCACACGGTCAAGGTTTGCGTTGACAACAAAGTTACTCCTCTCTGGACAAATTCAGTTGGATCAAAGTTGATTATAAGGAGCTGATTTCATTGAAACGAGGTTAAACAAACGTTATTCCAACGACAAACGCCTGGTGTGTCAAATTTTCGCCATAACAAACGTGAATGATTTTATACCTGTACCTCACTCTGTATACTCTATTTCACTCTCAAATCTCTGCTTAAAACTACATAAGTCGGACGACCCCGATTACTAGTCACTAGTTCATCATATTAATTTTCATAAAATTGTTTTTTTTTCAAAAATTTTTCTACATGAGGTTTATTGTTTTGCGATAAAATGACCTGATCAACACGCCAGTAACACCTCAATTATTAATTTTACAGCAAACGGACGATGACGTTACGAGTCGCTTGTTGTAGCTCTTTAATAAAATGTCTTCTCGGGCCAACGATCATTATTTCTCCAAGAAACAGTCACGCCATCCAGAACTTGCACGCAACTGCTGCGTTTGTATTATTTATTGGACCGGTTGAGATTCCCTTAATTAACCTACATCAGTTGAATATATTTTCACTGGAACTATTGCCATCCCTTAATATGTTACTGTGGTTCATTGCCGATATTGTCTTGAATAAATTAAAACCGACATATTTGTTAACAGCCACCATGATAGCATCGTTGACGCTCCAAGTTGTAACGCCTTCATGAGCAGACTAGACGAAGCTATGCAGGAGCATATGTTCAGTCTTAAAATGCCTAGCAAATTACGGACCAGGCAATAAGTCCAGCAGCTATCTCAATCAATCGTCAGTTATGGAAAGATCGGGTTCCAAAGGACGGATCCCTTGTGAATCAAGTCACGAAAAGTGCAGGAATCGGCAACAGGCCTAATGCCTATTTCTTCAGTGCCAACACTTCTATTCTATTCTATTTGTTCTTAACCAATCTGAGCCTGGACATTTGAGGCAGAATGAAGGTTTTATTTTATAGGCGATTTATTCAAAATTTTGAATAGTTAGAAGTTCGATCAATCAAAAATTGTATTCCATCAGTGAAGTCGAAAAGCACTCAATTTTCATTCTCGTCTTACGAAAATCTCAATTGAATGTAGAACCATATCAGTGCGTCAGGAAATTATTCACAGTACATAAGATATAAATAATATATGTTTAAACATTACTTTTTAAAGACAGCACTTCTGAAGAATCCAGTGTCTCCAATGTTACAGATGTACAATGAATTTCTCGTTTTATTTTCGAATATTAAAAAATTAATTTTTCAGGTTTTCTCAATATATAATTTTTTTCAAAATTATTTATTCTTTTAATTGATTTATACATTGCCTCCGAATTCACACAAGTGTGCAAAATTTCAGATCAATTGGACAGGTAATAGTGTGTCAAATATCAGTTATCTGATTTGTAGCTGACAAAATTATTTTTTCAATTTTATATTAAAAAAATTTAATTTTTGAAATCACTAATTTTGTCATTTGATTCTTGCATTGTCTCCAACTTCACGCAAGTGTGCAAAATTTCAGTTCGATAGGAAAAAAAGAAGTGTGTTAAATTTCGATTATAAGATTTGTAGCAGACAGACAGACACAGACAGACAGACAAACAAGAAGTTAAGTTAAAGAGAAGTGTTGTAATAAAATACTTTAAAAAAAAAAACTTTTTAAAAAAACACGTTTTTCTTGTGGACTAAAAAGTAGAAAATAAAATACTTAAAAAAAAAAAACTTTTTAAAAAAACACGTTTTTCTTGTGGACTAAAAAGTAGAAAATAAATTATGGCTCGCCCCAAAAAACGTGGGTCGGGCTGTACGTTCAATAATTTATTTTCTACTTTTTAGTCCACAAGAAAAATGTGTTTTTTTAAAAAGTTTTTTTTAAGTATTTTATTTTCTCCTTTTTAGTCCGTTGCTACACATGAAAATTTCAGTTCATTTTATTTCAGTTTGCCACGCAAATGCACGAAAGAAAATTCTTTTCGAAGTTCTGTAGAAAATTGTATTCGAGGGGATGCATTGTTGTTCCCGTATTCCATTTCATACATTTCATTGAATAAATACGCCTGGAAACGTGCAACAAATTATTGATTATTGTATTGTCATCGGAAGCTGAGCTTCCCTAAAAGTTTCAGAGCGCTAGCTAGCGGGAAAGTTGGTGAAATATCGATTGCAAGATTTGATCATCACAGACAGAAGGTAACGCGGTAATAATAATAATAAAATATATAAAAAAAATTTTTAAAGACCACGTTTTTCATGTGGACTCAAAAGTAGAAAATAATTTTTCGGCAGCTACTGATCTCTGTTTGCTTTCATTCTCTTGGTCTTTTGTATTTCAGTTAAAATATTTTACAACATCTAAAACGAAAAACGTGGGGCGCATCTTCATTTAGGCATGCCTTAATTTCAATTTTGAATTCAACCACTATTTCGAATTATATCAGCAATACCCTTATCAAATGTTCAATGAACCATCATATTCATCATGTCAAGTAATCACCAAACAATTAAATACAAATGCGCCTCACGTTTTTCGTTTTAGATGTTGTAAAATATTTTACCTGAAATACAAAAGACCAAGAGAATGAAAGCAAACAGAGATCAGTAGCTGCCGAAAAATTATTTTCTACTTTTGAGTCCACATGAAAAACGTGGTCTTTAAAAATTTTTTTTATATATTTTATTTTCTACTTTTTAGTTTTTTAAGTATTTTATTTTCTCCTTTTTAGTCCGTTGCTACACATGAAAAACGTTGTTGCGAGCCAATTTGCTTGACTTGACGTACGTATCGATGATACGAAGCGTATCATCGATATACGCAGTCTAAATAAACACGAATATCCTCTCGAGGATGACGTGCATTAAAGGTTCCCAAACCCCTGCTTGTGAGTTCCTTTAGAGTTTATACGCCTGAAAACGTGCAACAAATTATTGATTATTGTATTTTCATCGGGAGCTGAGCTTCCCTAAAAGTTTCAGAGCGCTAGCTAGCGGGAAAGTAGGTGAAATATCGATTGCAAGATTTGATCATCACAGACAGACAGACACGAAAGCGAGCTAAGAAAAACGTGGTAAAAACTGGCATTGAACGCGATCGTGTCCATTTGCAGATGTGAATCAATCAACATAAGCTTAATTGACGTATTTTCTGGTGAAAATGGAATTTTTCTAATGTTATAACGTCGACTTAATCACATCTTTTCAATTGAAAAAAAAAACATTTTAGGCAAACCTGTTGTTATTAATCCAGAAAATGATCGTCAGTTTCTGACACAAAAATATACCGTTATGTGTTTCGTATATGCAGAATTTGTCACAAATTTTCATAAAACATCGAACAAGTATAAATGCATTGACCAAACCTTCATTACTGCATTTCTTCTTACAATAATTAATGCTCTATGAGTCCGACTGAGAAAGTCTAGTTCTCAGCACGGATTTTTTTGTAGAAGGCCGTAGACTGATTTTCGGATAGCTAAAACATAGACGTAGATATTGATCGAAAAAAGGGCTAAATAGTTTCTACGTTGATTAAAATGATTGGATGTACTATACTGATTTTTGAAATGTGTTCTGAATTCAT